CCCGTGAGCTCAGGCAATCCACTCACCTCAGCCTCCCAAAGGTGCGGGATTACAGGCTGAAACCTTGATACGCAGCACACCGAGGGTAGGAGTGAGTCTGGCCAAAGCTAAAGGCGCGGAAACTTGCCTTCCTTTGTGCCTGTGTCTTTCTGCTGATACCGACGCCCCCCGCCAGCAGGGACCTTGACCTCTTCTAAACACGAGTTTGGGGTGCTCTTATCATTGCGTGGTTCTCATTCGCTCCTAAAACTGTGAGTCTGTTTCTTGACTCACACATGCGGCTCCAGCTTTTTGTGGCTACCATTTGTCCCCACCCACTGCCCCACCCCTTGTAGTCAAAGGCGCCAGAGCTTAATTTAGACCGGGAATCTTTCCTCCTCTGGAACATGCCCGGGTGCATCCCTGGCCTACAGGTAGGTGGAGCACACACCTCTGTTTTCGGTTCTTGGGGTCTCCCTAGAAGTCGCTGAGGATAAACTAGAAATGAGTTTCCACCTGCTCTGCTTCTGCAAACCCTGGCTGTGAGTTTAGCACGTGGAGAGGCAAAGGGGAACGAGATCCCACAGGGACCTTCCTCTTGTGGGAAGGCAGAGGCAGGCAAGTCATGGCATCAGCTCAGAAACCTCAGAGCAAACCCACACTTGAGAGTCTGGGACCCAGAGGGCAGCCCCACATCTCCTAAGGGCATGCTGAAAGAGGCCTCCGACCCTGTTCTTCTAGGCCTGCTCATTTGGGCTCTTTTTTTTGAATTTGGAAAATATAGTTTATTTAGAAAGTAAATTAGAAAGAGAGAAGGGGGGGGAGATTCACCTCCCCAAGGCAGGGGAAGGAGCCAAAGCTAGGAAACATGGCAGCCACAGCTCAAAAAGCCATGTGGATGCAGCAGAGATGAACAAACCAACAGCTAGAAAGTAAATTAGGGGGGAGAGAGAGAGGAAATTTACCTTCCTAAGGTAGGGAAGGGGGTCTTGGGCTCTTCTTACGGGGCCTGGGCTCTGCTCTTGTGGGATCTGTCAACAAATGATCGTCTGAAATGGAGTTGACTCACATCGACATGGCTGGGAAGTGTCCATTGTCTGACTGTTCCTGGCAGTCAGTGCCCTCCTAACATCCCTGAAGTTCCACTTCTCAGCGTCACCCATTTTGGAAGACTGTCCCTGGCACCATGAAGAGAATCTGTGCCAGGATTATCTCCTCCCTAGACCTGAACCCCGAAGGTCTGCATTTCTAACAAGTCCCCAAATGCTGCTAACGTTGCTGGTCCAGGGACCACACTCTGAGAACCATTGGTCTACACAAGGAAGAAGGGAGATGGTTACACTCACTTAAAAACTTGTGACTGAGATAACCCACTCTGGGACCCCTTTCTTTTTTTTTTTTTTTCCTTTCCTTTTAATTTTTATTTAAAATTGTGGAGTACAATCCAGGGCTAGGTATTCAAATATTCACCATGCAGGTACCCTTATCGATGAGGTGTGTCCCCCCAGGCAGATATCAATCCTACCTCCCCATTCCCCTTACACCCCTCCCCGCAGTTTTCCACCACTTTCTATCCTTTTCTTATAGTAATACAGTAGTTGTTCAAGGTCCAACTTGTGAGTGAGAACATGTGATACCCAGCTCTTTGTTTCTGTGAGAGATCACTCAGTATTATAAACTCTAATTCCATCCAGGTGCAAAGTTCATGATTTTGTTCTTCTTTATGGCTGCCTAGTATTCTCTGGTGTATATGTACCACATTTTTTTATCCTGTCCTCTTTTGATGGTTGGTTCCATGTTCTTGCTATTGTGAGCAATGCTGTGATAAACATATGTGTGCAAGTATCTTTTTTATAGAGTGACCTGAATTCTTCTGGATCTATTCCCAGTAGGGGGATTGTGGGGTCATATGGAAGGTTGATTTTTAGAACTTTTAGGAGTCACCACTCTGATTTTCACAGAGGCTGAACTAGTTTGCACTCCCACTAACAGCATAGAAGTGTTCCCTTTTCTCCACATCCTCGCCAACATCTGTTATTTTTTGAGTTATTGATGATGGCCCTTCTGACTAGAGTTAAGTGGCATCTTTTTCTAGAGAGCTTTGTTGCTTAATAAACTCCTTTTTCACCCACCAAAAAACAAAACAAAAAAACAAACAAAAAAACTTGTAACTGGTCCTGGTCCATTTTATGAACTATCTATCTGCTCTAATTATAGGAGCGTTTTAGGAATTCAGGAATTTTGCTGAACCTTGCTCAGAGGCTAAGCTACATATAAATGATCTTTAAAAATCCAATCAGATCCTGGTCACTTTCAGTGATTGTTTCTTCAATACTTATATGCGAGGGCTGGTTGTAAACTCTCTATTTCTCACCCCCAAGGGCAGGCTGGATGATCTGCATTAAACCCTTTTTCTCCACAGTGCTGGAGCTGGGCGAACAGGTACATTCATAGCCCTCAGCAACATTTTGGAACGAGTAAAAGCAGAGGGGCTTTTAGATGTATTTCAAGCTGTGAAGAGTTTACGACTTCAGAGACCACATATGGTGCAAACCCTGGTAAGAACCTGAATGATAAGGACGTTACCAGAGGAGGCGAAAATTGTTTCACGTCATATTTGATGTATGTTTCATTAAAGGAACTGAAGTGTGTGGGGGAGATGCGAAGGTAAAATTTCCAAAGGAAAAGAGCCAGTTGCAACTTTTCACAGCAAAGCTTTGCATCCGCCTTTCCTGACTTGGGTCCTGACTTAGGTCTGGCCTCTGGGTAGGACTCGGGAGAAGGAGCTTGTCTACGAATTTCAGTGACTAAACACACTTGGGTAGAGACACTGATGGTACAAGCTTCTGAGTCAACATGAGCCATGCTATGAGATCCCAATGTACATTAGAAAATGTACTGTTATGAAGTTCAAAAGCAGCACTGACATTTAAAATCCAGGTGCTTGTAATTTTCAGTTGTATACTATTTTATCCAGTCTGTTTTCCTTGGCTGGGTCTCACTCAACTGCTCAAGAGACTTAAAGAATTCACTGAATGTACAATTGTCCTGCATATTCTCTTGCATTACATGGATGTACACTTTCTAGTTTTCAGAAGAGATCCCTCCTCACCAAATGTGACAATGGCTTGTCCTCCGCCAGCAAGGACCATTTTAAAAGCTGTTATAACTCATCATTTCCCCAAAGCTTTCTGTTTAAGACCTATCTCCCTGCCCATTCACCATGCTAACATAATCCCAGCTCAAACAGCCCCTCTTGGTGTATAAAAAGGCCAGAAGAAGGGCCCTTCCATGGTCTTCTGATCACAACAGTATACTGTAGTAGAGAACCCACTGAGCCAAGGGCAGGTTTGCCCTTCTATGCCCAGGTTGGCTAGAGCATGGTTCTCCACCCTGGTTGCACTTTAGACTCACCTGGAATCCCTTTGCCCAAGCTGTCCCTCAGACCAATTACCTAGAAGTTGGAAAAGTCAAGTCAAAAGCCAATTTGCACATATAACACTTTGCTAGTGTCATGAAAATGCTTGCCTCTTTAAAGAGAGCCTATACATTTATTAAGAAACCTTTCTAGAAATTCACTTTCCTTTTCTCTCCAAAAGCAAGGTGGTCAAGTAGGAAACTTAGCAGCCAGAAGTGAGAACCCTACTGCTATCTGGTCTTGGTTCTTCCAACAACTTCTGGGAACTCAGGATCAAAGTTTCGGGTTCACCTTTTCTTGCTTGGGAAAACCAAACTCCTTCCCCTCCTGGCCAGACTGAGACTTGCAGAAAGGCTGAGCTGGCTAATGTTTGGCATCTTTGGACCCAAAAGGCTTTAGACGTTTGCTCAACATGAGTTGAGAAGAGCCTACGTCTAATGCGTTGAAAGAAGATGGGAGGTTAATGAGGACGTATCTTGGCCTTCCCGGGTCTTCTGAGCCCTGCTCCTGGCCCCAACCAAGCTCATACATCCCACTCAGGGGTCTGCAAGTCCCAGACCCTTTTATGTGAGATGCAGGTGAACCGCTGTAGGCTTTAGAGGGGCCCTTGGACTCCCCTCCCCTGCCCATGGACCGTTATGTCCACCTGGTTTTCCAGAGACTCAGAGCCTGCTCTTTAAGGAAAGTTTGGCCATTGTCACTTTCTCACTTCTTTCATTTCTTCCTACTGAGTACCCATCATTGCTCATGCACCCGCTTGCTGACCCCCCTAAATCCACGAACTGCCCTAGTCCCCACAGTGCTGCTGGGAGGAAAAGAATCACACGATAGGAGAAACTGTCTGTTTGTTTTGAGTTGGAGTCTCACTCCGTCGCCCAGGCTGGAGTGCAGTGGCACGCTCGCTCAGGGCCACTCCAGCATCAACCTGCTGGGCTCAGGCAATCCTTCCACCTAAGTCTTCCAAGTAGCCAGAACTACAGATGCACATTACCATGTCCAGCTAATTTTTTGGTCTATTGTAGAGATGAAGTCTCGCCAAATTGCCCAGGCTGGTCTCGAACCCGTGGGCTCAGGCGGTCCTCTCACCTTGGCCTCCCAAAGTGCTGGGATTACAGGCTTGAGCCAGGCTTGGTTAATAAGCTAAATGCCTTATGGAAATGTGAGACATACTTTTGAATTCTAGTAAAGTTTATATAAAACAGTATCCCTTTGTAGAGCAAATTTAGGCTTAAAAATAATCTGGATTTTCATTATGCTTAGCTTTTATAGATTTTTCTTGTCATGTTATGAAGTTTGTCTGGTAATGTTAGTACTCTGATTTTTTCTCAGCTCAAAAATAGTTGTTTTCCAGTTTATATGTGAAAACTCAAGATGTTTTACTGGGATTTTTCTAAAATACACAAATTTGAAACTAAACATTGGTTTTTATTTAGAAAAACAGCTTTATTTGGAAACTTGCGTGACTCTGAAAACTAAATTATGATGTGTATAAAGGCATATACATAGTATTTTGCTAAATAGCCAGACTTATTTATGTCTTATTTTTTAATATTTCCCCTGATTCAGCTAATCAGATTTGTTCTTTGACGTATTTTAATGTATTCTTGTTTTTTCTTTTCAGGAACAGTATGAGTTCTGCTACAAAGTGGTACAAGATTTTATTGATATATTTTCTGATTATGCTAATTTCAAATGAAAATTCCTGCCTTAAAATATTTTTTAATTTAATGGTCAGTATATTTTGTAAAAACCATGTTAATTTATTTCATAGTTGACATTAATATTCTTCCTAATTTCGTTGTATATATTTTGTTATGCCCTAAGGCCATCTGTTATAAAGCTATTAAATCTTAAATATTCTTTTTAAAAATCAGAATAATGTATTAAGGTCAAATAATATCCCATAAAATATATATTTCTGCTAATATCAGCAAATATCTTTTAATTTTCCATTTGATTCATGTCATCTAATTTCACACATTCAACACCTCTAAATGTTATAAATCTTAATATGCCAAATGTGCTTATGCAAGATACTAAACACAAAGCTCATTGTTAAGAAAACAGTCAAGGAATCAGAAGTCGGTTGAAAATTCACTTTCCTAACACTCATCTTATACCCCTGAGCAGCAACATTTTTGGAAAGCAAACTGTTTGTCAGGATACAAAATAGGGACTTTTGTAAAGTCCTCAGTCTCCGCCCATGTGGTCTATTTTTACATTTCAAAGATCAAAGACTTTACAGCTTGAATCAGGGTCTAAAACACATTAAAGCAGTTGGTGACTATATAGTAATGTTTTAAAATACATGTATTCAAGAGTGGGTCTATACCATCTTGCTGAACGAAAGGAGATATAAATGCCAGGTCAACCCCTCGGCCCGTGGCCTTGGGTACGGCAAAACCAGACATTGGAGCTGCACTACAGAACACCACTTGCTGTCCATCCGTCTGTCTGTCTGATCAGAGAACCAGTCAGCTTTATCTCCCACTCTTCCCTTCCATCCTGCCACAGAGACCTGTGCTGGTCCTGAGTATGCCTGGAGACTCAACACAAAACCACATCCTGTCCAAACATACAAATAAAGCCAAATGTCTTACGCACAGAACAGAGGAGCACACACTGGGATAGAAACAGTGGCATAACCACACACAATTAAACGTTAAACTTTCTGAGCAGCATTTTGGTACTTAAAATTTTCTTGTAAAAAGCTAAGATTGTTTGTAAGAAAAGAAACCTTAAAATCTAGATTTATACAGTTTTTAAAAGTCCCACTCCCCCATGTTTAATAAAAGAAAGGGAAATCCTTAATCTAAAGGCTGACTTATTTTTGAATGGAAATACTCCTGAGACCTTTGACACTGGAAAATAAGAATGATCCCACTGCCAGATAGAATTGGCTTATGGGGCCAAAAAAAGGGCAGGAAGAATGTAGAAACGTTTCATTTAATAAGTTATCTTTCTATGGCCATTAGGTACCTAGCAGATGAGCATAATATAAGTAAGAAGACATCTGGTCGACCTTACTAAAAAACATTTTATGTGCATTTTGGTACTTTTTTTTTTTAAAAGAAATATAAAGGCCTTACTTGACATTTTCCCTGGTAACTGGTTGCAATCTTCTGTTGCAGTGTTTATCCCCTACTCATTGATGATGTGTGCAAATCTAACCCCAGGGCACATTATTGTTCTAATAATAGGATCACAGGTAATCAAGCTTCCTGCCTATTCCACAGCTCCAAGCCCCATCCAAGGGCAAGAGTTGGTGCCCAGCTGGAAGGACAGAAGCATACTCTGTGACCACTGTCATCCCACCAGCTGCATCCCTGGGCTGCATGCTGCTGAATGCATACCTCTCTCCTTCTCTGCACAGTGATTAAGCATTTAGGACAAAGAGGAAAACGAAGGAGCTTTTTGGAGGCTCATCCTTTGATCCCCTTTGCTTTCATTTTGAAATTCCCAAACCCAAAAGCTTTTCTTTGACTAAAGGAGATGAGAGAACGACAAGCTTTCTTTTGTTCAGCATCCAAACACTAGAAACCCTAGAAACTAGAAAGCCTGATTGTCAGGATGTAGGTGATGTCACACTAGTCATTTATTTGAGAGTTCAAAGTCAAAGACAAGGAATATGGGCTTTGGTCCAAGTCTAGGAGCTCTTAGTCAGAGTTCTAGAAGCCCTTTAATGGTCTAACTGGCACCTCTTGTATCAAGAGGTACCTTTAAGGTAGACCTTTTCAGGGTGTCCTCAGGAAAGTGCCCCTGCTTATGTGTTTTCCCTGCCCCCTTGGGCCATTCCCAGTGTTCACTGCAGGGGTTCTGCCTGTACTGAAACCTTTGCCATTCCAGAAACAAAGCAGATGTCGCTCTCCCTCAGACTCTGGACCCCCTCTTCCCAGACTGGGCAGGACTTTCCCTTCGGAAGGGCCAATCATTGCAGCTTTGTGGCCTCTGCCTTGGCCCCAGTCCAAACAATCTTCTGGCCCTTAGAGCAACTGCATGCAGAGGGAATAGATACCTGGGAGCTCGGTATCTTCTCTGTGCAACCTGAAAAATTCATCTTTTCTTCCTTTCAGTCAAAGAAAGTCTATTGTACATAGCAATACAGTTCCTTTCAGTCCAGTGCTGACATCACTTTTCCTTTCACATTATTCTATGTTGCATGCAGTTGCTTTCAAATGCCAAATAATGATTAGAAGACTACCGTTCTGATCTATATGCGTTCTCGGTCACTGTGTGACTGACTTTACAGTTTCTCTCCATGTGCTATACGAATGAAAAATGCATACCAGTGTTTTAAAAGGTATTTTTATGTGTTTTTAAAAACTTTTTAAAATGAGCCTGACACCTGTGTTTCAGCGTTGGAGACATGCCCATGTTATTTTTTTAAATGGATGATTACTGATACTTTTTTGTCTGTTTGTTTAACTAAGTTGTGTTTAATTTATGTGCGATCTTTATAATATATGTACTACAGTTTCAACTGTCACATTTTCTTTCGTTACACTTATCATTTGATCTTGCTCTGATTATAACGCCAGTGAATGTTGCTGAATTCTTTGTATATGCAAATTGCAAGATCTAAACCATTCTGAGGCAAGGATAAACCTTTACTTTGACTATCAGCCTGTGTCTCTTTCTTCACATCTCTTAATCTCATTCCTGGGTCTTCGTCCTTTTAGGCAAGACAATCATTAGGAGCTGAGAACTGGCTTATATAGATCCTTTATCTTAGGACTTTTTTTTTTTTTTTTGAGTTGGCGTCTCACTCGCCCAGACTGGAGTGCAGTGGCTGCTCCCGGCCACCGCAGCCTCGACCCGCTGGACTCCGGCCTCCTTCCGCCTCAGCCTTCCAAGTAGTTGGAACTCCAGGCGCGCGCTACCATGCCCGGCTAATTTTTTTGATTTATTGTAGAGATGAGGTCTCGCCAAATTGCCCAGGCGGGTCTCGAACCCGCGGGCTCAGGCAATCCACTCACCTCAGCCTCCCAAAGGCACGGGATGACAGGCTGAGCCACTGAGCCCGGCTTATCTTAGGACTTTTAAAATTTAGCTCCAGCTGGGCATAGAAACAGCCTCGAAGACATGGGTGGGCATGGTAGCTGGTGGACCCAGCCCTCAGGCAGGAGGCAAGAAGCACAGAACTCACTCTCCAGTACACCCATGCTTCTAGCTTCCTTGAATCCACACAGGACTCTGAGCTGTGAGCAGTGATTTGCCAGAATTTCCAAGAAAGATGACTGCATGCTTTGAAGTCCACAGCCCGGTGTAATCAGAAAGCCTTCTAGCGTTGTTTTTCTTCCTAAAATCTGTCAGGCTTCCCTTTGCTTCGTGCATACCTTTATGGCTCTTACGATCCCCTCCCACCTCGTAGCACCCCTTCCATCTCACCCCAAACCTACCCCCACACACCAGTTTTCCCCTTTAGATGCTCTGGGACTCATGTGGAATGTAAGCCTATTATTTTATTATTTGTTGTATTTATTGAATGTATAAGCCGTGTTATATTTGTTCAAATTTGAAAACCTTTTATTTCCCTCTCATTAAAAAAAAATCACCTGCTATGACATGATGTTTGCTATGGTAGACCCTTTGGTTACTGGTTTCTCCTTCTGGGTCTGTGGGTCCCAAAGTCCCTTATTCGAGCCGGGCTCGGTGGCTCAGCCTGTATTCCCATGCCTTTGGGAGGCTGAGGTGAGTGGATTGCCTGAGCCCGAGGGGTCGAGACCCACCTGGGCAACTTGGCGAGACCTCATCTCTACAATAAATCAAAAACTAGCTGGGTGTGGTAGCGTGTGCCTGCAGTTCCAGCTACTTGGAAGGCTGAGGCGTAAGGATTGCCGGATCCCAGCGGGTCAAGGCTGCGGTGGCCGGGAGCGGCCACTGCACTCCAGTCTGGGCGACAGAGTGAGACTCCAACTCAAAAAAAATAAAACAAAACCAAAGTCCCTTATTAGACAAGCAGCACCCAATCTGCTATGAGTGTGGTCAGGGCCCTTCCCCTGGGCCAGTAGACCTGGACACCTGAAGGTGTAGGTGAATCTGGAAGCAGTGGGGAGGGGAGGAGTGTTCTAAGGAGACGGGAGAGAGGCACCAGGAAGGCACCCATAAGACATCAACCAAGGTCAATGGACTTGACCAGCCCTGCCTGAGTCAGGCCACCTTCAAAGGAAGACCTATCAGTGGAAACAGACAGGACACTGAGTGCTGAGAGGCCACAGGATACACATGCAGGTTCACCAAGGGCACTGATTAGCATGTGCTTCTCACTTGGCCAGTCACAGGGGTATGGCTGGTACTCAACTCTGTCAAGACATCCAAGAGCTCTCCCCAATCATCTACATGAGGGACAAGCTGTTGGAGTGTGGACTCACAGCTCCCACCATTGGATTGAAGCTTGTCTTCAGGGGTGCCTGCTCTCTGGCACACGCATGCCACACTTGCCTCTGAGACTAGTGGAGAGAGCCCAGGGGAGGTGACACAGAACACCCAAGTCATTTGCTGTGGTCACCAAGCTCCCAGGCTTAACCTCTAACGTCTTGTACATCGGGCACAGCAGCTGTGTGTCATTGGGAAACAATGCCAGTCCCAGGGGAACCTTGAGCTATCTGCTGGGATGCCAGGAGGGCAACTTCAGAGAAGCCATGCCCCCAGCCTGTCATTTGCATGTTCACTTCTCGCAGCGTGTTTTCCACTTGGATTAGGGCCTAATGGAGCCAACTGCCCTCTGGTTGCAAAGGTCGGGGCAACAGCAACGTAGGGTGTTTGTTATAAAAGTTCAAACCCGGGAGAGGACCAAGATGGCCAACTGAAGACGTTGCATGATTGCAGCTCCCAGCAAAAAATCTCTATGGAGGAGCAGACCTAGGGCTTTGAGGGTCTACTTGAAATCCCAAGCTGATATCTATCAGATGATCACCTGGGGACATGGAGGATGAATAGTCCTAAGCCTCAGATATCCCTAGAAGCAGCCCTGGCACGAGATTGGGGGATCATCTTTGGAGACGGAAGGAGTGAAAATGTCAGCTTCTCTACACACCTCACATAAGCCTCTGTAGTCTCAACCAAAGAGAGACATCCCAAGTTCTACCCAACACCCCTCCTGTGCCAGCTAGGTGCAGAGGGCTGCCCTAAATAGAGAGACACCAGCAGGAGACACATGGAGCTCATGGAACCCCAGTGCCCAGGAGTCCCACACCATGACTGCTGACTCCCCTCCCTCACACCCATGGAGAGACTTAGCAGAAAACATCTTGCAGGAGTGATCTATGTTACATGGGTGCTACTTCCTTCCCCAGCACCAAACTTTGGGGATGCTTATCCCATGCTGGCAGCTGTTGCAGGCCTAGGTCAGGGCTGTAGACTTGGCTTGCTCTCAGGGGCCACCAGTGTTGCCATAACCCCTCTCACAGAACAGGGCAGGATCTAAGGGCAGAATCTAAGGTGCCCCCACTGTGGATTAAGGGGCAAATAACAACACTTCACTGCTTCCCTTCTACTCCTGGATGAAAGGAGTCTGGTCCCAACCAGACAGGTGTAGACCACCCCACACCCCCAAGAGCACTCCAAAATCAACTAGGTACTTCAACATAAATCAAGCATGAACAAATCTCAAAAGGTCAAACTTATAACAGTCGTCTTCTCAGACCACAATGGAATAAAAATATGCATCATCACCAAGAGGAAGCTCCTAAAACACACAAACCTATGGAAATTAAACAACATGTTTCTGAGTGACTTTTGGGTTAACACATAAATCAAGGCATAAATAAAAAGATTCCTGGAAACAAATGAAAACAAAGACACAACACACCCAAACCTCTGGGATACTATGGAAGTGATGCCGAAAGGGAAGTTTATTGAATTGCACGTGCATATCAAGAAAACAGGAATCTCAACCAAACGGTCTGACGCCACACCCAAGAGAGCTAGAAAGTCAAGAGCAATCCAAACTCAGAATTAGTAGAAAATGGAAAACATTAAAATAAAGTCACAGTTAAATGAAATAGACACCAAAAAAGCATACAAAGGATAAATGAAAAGAAAAGCTGATTATTTGAAAGGATGTATAAGATTGACAGATCCCTGGCCAGACTATCAAAAAAAGAAAGAGAGAGAGAATTTGAAGAAACCCAATTAGAAATGAAAAAGGTAGTCAGGCTCGGTGGCTCAGCCTGTCATCCCAGCAACTTGGGAGGCCAAGGCAAGTGAATTGCCTGAGCTCGTGGGTTCGAGACCAGCCTGGACAACTTGGTGAGACCTCGTCTCTACAATAAATAAAAAATCAACTGGGCATAGTAGTGCACATCTAGTTCTGGCTACTTAGAAGGTTGAGGTGAAAGGATCACCTGAGCCCAGCAGGTCGATGCTGGGGTGGCTGCAAGTGTGCCACGGTACTCCAGGCTGGGGACAGAGTGAGACTTCAACTCAAAAAAAAGGGAAGAAATGAAAAAGGTAATGTTATAACTGACTTTGAAGAGATACAAAAGATTATCAGAGATTATCCCTATGTGAATAATCTAGAACATCTAGGGGAAATGGAGAAATGCCTGGCATCACATAACCACCTAAGATTGAAACAAGAAGAAATTGAAACACTAAACAGACCAAGACAATGTAAGAAATGAACTTAGTAATAAGAAGCCTCCATGCCAAGAAAAGCCCTGGGTTGGATGGTTTCTTAGTAGAATTCTACAAGACATACAAGGAAGAGCTGATTTAATTCTATTGAAAGTATCCCAGGCAATCAAGAAGGAAGGGATTCTCCCTAGCTCATTCATGAAGTCAATATGATCCTGATACCCCAAAATGGCAAAGGTCCAACAAAGAAAGAAGACCATTGACCAATTTCCCTGATTAACATAGATGCAAAAATTCTCAGCAAGATTCTAACAAATTGCATACAACAGCATTTTTTTGTCTTTTCTCTTTCTCTCTCTCTCTCTCTCTCTCCCTGTTTGAGTTGGAGTCTCACTCTGTCACTGGAGGAGTGAGTCTCTCAGGTTGGAGGGCAATGGTACAATCACATCTCACCACAGTGTTGACCTTCTGAGCTCAGGCAATCCCTCCACCTCAGTCTCCTGAGTAGCTGGAGCTACAGATGCACACCACCACACCTTGCTAATTTTTTTATTTTTGTAGAAATGAGATCTCACTATGCTTCCTAGGCTTGTCTTGAACTCCTGGGCTCAAGTAATCCTCTTGTTTTAGACTTTTGAAGTGCTAGGATTACAGGTGTGAACCACTGTGCCTGGCTCCCAACTACACATTCCAAGAATCATCTATCACATACACAGGTATGAAACCAAGAACCACATGATTATCTCATTAGATTTAGAAAAAACATTCAATAAAAATCTAACATTCCTTCTTGATAAAAGCCCTCAAACACCTAAGCATTGAAGGAGCATTCCTCAAAAGAATAAGGGCCATCTATGACAAACCTACAGCCAACATCATACTTAACAGGCAGAAGCTGGAAACATTCTCCCTAAGAACTAAAACAAGACAAAGATGCCCGTTCTAATTTCTCTTATTTAACATAGTTCTGGAAGTTCTAGTCAGAGCAACCAGGCAGGAGAAAGAAATTGGGGGTAGCCAAAAAGAAAAAGAGAAAGTTAAATTA